ATTAGTGTACGTGGGTTTGTGTAATTGGAAAAACCAGTGTTGCATCTATTCATTTATCATTTCAGTTCAAAAACAAGTGTTGAGATGGTTAAAATTGAGTTTAAACAGGAATATTAACTTCCATTAACTGATTCGATCTTCATATAATTCTTAGTTATTTAATCATGGATATGTTTGTTTATATTTTATTTTCATTTCTGTAAAGAGAAATGTTAAAATTGGTTACTTATTTCATTTTTTAGATCCATCCGAAGTATGGAGGACATGATGGAGCCAGACTAAATCGAAATTTTATCTACAGCAGGTAGTGGTTCCATGAAATAGCTTTTTGTGGTCATTACATTTGGGAAATTTAAGATCTCTTTTTATTCTATTTAATATTTTTATAATAGTTAGGTCTGAAGAACACAAAATTGATTGGAAATAGGAATACTGGTGTGCTGGTTTCATAAAATGTATGCTGGTAGAGCTGCTTATCTAATTCAATGTCAAACTTAGCATATTTCAGAGAAAAAACCTACATTTTGGTTGATTTTTGCCTTGTTTAAGATAAAACAAATCAACCATGATTGCAGTATAAAATAAAAACAAGTTTTATATCCTTTAATTATATATTTATAGCTTAGTTCAAAGTTGTGCTATTAGTGAAATATAATCTTTTATTATTTTCTCATTTTCGGAGATTGTGATAATAATGGATAAGCACATTTTGGAGACATGCTCAGAATGGTAAAATGTGACTGTTGCAGCTTCTGTATTGAATTCAAGTATATTACACTCGAATTGTGTTTGCACTCTAACACATTCAAGCCTGTGTACATCCAGGATGTGACAGATGGTGATGTACTTGCACAAAGGATGCTGAGAGTAGTTTACCAAATAAACTGTAGCAGATGGTTGAGAAACGGGGATGAGTGACTAGGACAGTTTGCTGGAGTAAGATGGATTGCCAAATCTGTAAGGGCTTCTCACACCTGATAGTCTATAAGCTTTGCGACCTCTGCATGGGCATGCACCTGCTAAAGCAGACCTAGTCAAACATTGTAGAATGCATGGATGAAGTTTTCCTTCATAAGGAACAACCAAACATACGTAGGGCTATGATACAATCCAAACACACATCATCTAATGGCTTCTGGATTGAGTACTTTAGTCTGTGATAGGCTAGTACTGTCAATTCAAGGTTGGAGACTGTGTGGTGGAGATACTTTGCACATGTATAAATTTGGAGTACCTTAGACATGGAAGTTACGCCATTGAAACTGTTAGTCTCATGGAACATGTCACTGATACTGCCTGTATCATGAGTAGTTCTGACTCTGACTAATGTGTACCAAATATGTTATTGACTTGTATGTAAATACATATGTGATATCAAAACATTAGTAAATGTTTATTGGTTTTGTTTGTTTCATAATAATTATTCCTTTTATGCCATAATGTCAATCTGATAGACTTTACTATGTTGGTAGGGTTATTTATACAGTCTGGGGTATCCATCTTTGATCTTAATTTTATAAGTAACTGTAGGGTGAACTTAAATAAATTTTGCAGTTGCTAACACAGACAATTTCAATGAAATCAGAGGTAGGTTCAAATTCCAACCATAGAATCACCCTTCCATTTCTGCATGTACATTAATAGCAAATCGTGATGTTATTGCTTATACATTTTATAAGAACATTGTTCTTTCGTAGCTAGAATAAATACTCTGTTTCGTCTGGTTAATACATTTAAATGGATATTTGTCAGATTGGGATGTAAAGGATGTGGAACAGTTTGATCTGAGGAAAATATGTTAGAAAATTTCTAAAGCACAAGGCAAAATGCTTCATGATTAGCTTGTTAAAAAGGCTTTATTTTAATTTAAATGTGCTTTGAATAAAAATGCAGCATACTTGTATGTATGTATGTTTGTGAAGTGTTGAAATTATGACAGCTAAAAAACTTTGTATAAATCTTTGTTGTATTGATTTAAATAAGGAATTAAAAGAAAATTGATCTTAACTTCAATCGAAATAACAAACAAATAAGAAAGACCAGGCTAGTAAACTTTTCTCCTAACATTATGGTACCTGTTACTGAAGTTTTTTTCTTCCTCTGGTTTTAGGTTTAGGCCTGTTCGTGCCTATAGAGATTCAGAAGGGACAAGTTACTTTACATGTTGTGCCTTTTCTGTAAGTTTGTGTGTATGTGAACTTCACTATTTCTGAGGCTTTGTTAATGCTAATTTTTACTTCAGTAATACATTAACATTTTCTGATTTCTACATCCACACGCAGACTTGTATAATACAGAGGTGTAGTATACATAAAAGTGTATGAATAATTATTTATTTTTGGTGGTGAATCTCAAATGAAAAACTTTCATAATGATGAATCTCAGATATACACGTTGAAAAACTTTAATGAAAAAATAATTATTCGATAATTTTTAATAAAATAAATTCTGGAACTGTTTTATTTATTTATTTTAATGTGAAGATTTTCATTTGTTGACAGTTTAAATAATATATAATCAAAGATTATTTTACTTATATATAGTGTAGAGGAAACCATAAGTTCAGGGTTTTTGTTTTTAATTATTTATATGCCCTTAATTTATTACTGTTTATTTCAATATAAAGAATTAGTACTTTTGCAATCCCACTGTTTATCACCACTCAGAAATTTCCTTAAATATTTGACTTCATTTATCTTGATTTGTATTCATGAAAGTTATTTCATACAAGTCTAGTTTTTAGGCCAAGCAAGTTGATCAGTGTTCCAGATAAAAAATGTTCTAATGTTTTTGAAAAGAGCAATTTTTTAATATATTTGAGGTATTATTTTCACTTAGGTTACTTGAAGATAATTCTGTATTGTTTTCTATGCATAAACTTTGTGGCAAGAGTTTTATTTGATTTTTACATATAAATGTTTTCTTTTTTCCCTCCATCAGCCTTGTGACCAGTTTTTATTTCTGGGAACATATGCAGGAGAGTTAAAAGTATATAATATACACACTGGAACAGTAAGTTTGATGTTCAAGCTATATTTTTCAACAACAACAACAACAAAAATAATTTATATAAGTTTTTTTTTAGATATTGTGCCTGAGAGAGAGCATGAGATGCAAATACAGTATTGCTTGTTTGAATTTAAAATTTCTCTGTGCGTGTGAGCATGTTTGTGTATAGAATTTAAACTATTAGTCACTGAGGTTAGATAGAAATGGTAGATATAAATATATGGATAATATTGTTTCATAAACTTGAGTAGAACAAGACATAAATAAATATTTTAGACTATTAGAGAACTGCTGTAAAACATAAGGCAATTATGAGAGATTGTGTGGAAAAAATGGAAGAAAATACCACTTGATAATCTCAAAAACTAGCATCTTCTATACCTGATTGGTGTACCAATGTAAATAAAGCTAGAGGACATTTAAAAATATTAGTTATTTAGTTTATTTTTTTCAAAAATGCACTTTTTATGTCTATATTGTAATGCTGAGTATAATATATGGTGTTCATTTACTCAAAAACTTTCTTAAAACATTTGTTAGAAATTTTGAAATTCACATGTTAAATACATACGTATTTGTTGGTGAATATTGTAATTTATACTGTATGATTATTATAAATTTCATCCTTTATTTTAATGGACATGTGACAGCCAAATAGTGTTCAAGTTACTATTAAAACTTTTATGCCATAAACTTTGAAATAGTGACTGCAACTCAGCAGATGGGAGCAGAGATTCATATGTGTATAAGTGTAAAATTCCAAACCAGTACATAATAGTGTATAATTGCACAAGAATATTAAAATGTATGACCTAACACCTACCAGTTGTGATGGGATTAGTACATTTCTTTAAACCAGTTATTTTAAGTACTCTTCCAGTGTTTTCTGTTTAAAAAATGCAGAATTAAATCATAGAAGAAAAAAGGTATTTTTATACTATGTTGAAAGTCACGAATGTAATCGTTGTCTGTTTCCTTCTCTGTAGGAGGAAGCTACATATATTTGTCACGAGTCAGAAGTTATTCACTGTGAACCATCAAAGGTAAGAAGTGTTAAAGAACTTCTCCATCTTATTTATTTACTGCATGTAAGTTGTAGAACAAAACAAAAATATTTTTTGTTTCAGTCATTTTCATTACCAATGTTATCCTTAGAATGAAAAGAACATTGTTTGGGCAATGAGAAAGGAAAACTAGTACATAATGAAATACTATATAATGCTGAAGTTTGTAAAGCAGTGTTCTTTAGCCACCGCAGTGAGATGAAGCATTTAAAATGCTTTATAATACACCATACTGGTGAGAATTGTTTGAACTAAAGGTTTTTGTAACCTAGAAATTGATTATATCTTAATTAAGGAAAAAATTTTAAAAATTTCTCTACGGTTATCTGTACTTATTTAGTTGATACGTATAAAACAGGATGGCCAACTTTAAACTGCACTAACCTTGCACTTCAGTGGTTATGTATATAGTCAAGAGAACTACTTCAAATATGGTTTTTATTAATTGCAATAAACTTTTAACAGCGCTCTTGCATTTTAGTTATATATGAAAATAGAGGTGTTGGAAACCCTGATTTCCCTTTCTGTTAATGGGAAATTAAGTTATGTGGTATTCTTCAAAGTTCTGATAAAGCTTGTGATTACTTCCACATGAAGTCAGTTCTTGCCCATAATTCACCCTTTTTCCCTGGAAAGTAATTGTCAGTTGTCTTGGAATTTGTCTGATTTCTGAAAACCTATTTGCTGTAAATAAGAAAGCCAGCCATGTTGTGAGGAAGATCTGGATCTTTACAGATCTTTACTCTCTCTCTCTCTTTTCTTTGTCATTGTGAAATACAATAAAGATGTTTGTATCTTCAAATGAAATGTGTGTATCTGTGTTATCAAGTTTGATGATTTTCACACATTGTACATAGAACCTTCAATTTTCTCATTAATGTGATCTCGTGAATTTCCTGCTGATTTTAAGTGCATTGTAGAATAATGCAATTGTAGCCCAGTCAACCTGATGAGCTCTGGTGGTGAGTAATTAGCAGTGGCTTAAAACAAAGAAATCTTATATAAAATATATATTCACTATGGTACATAAAAGACATTTCAAAATATCCTACATATAATGTACACTCTACCACTATATGAAGCCTAGTCTTATTCTTTCAGTTTGCCTTTCCCCAGGGTTAGTGATAAATGAAATTCCCCAAAACTATTATAACTCGGTGACGGGTGGTAAACTGAATGGTAGATTGGTCTTCACTTTTATTCTTTCACACTTCATGCTGAAAACCCATATTGGATATGTTCAAGGGTCACATTAAAATTCTTCTCAGCCTTATTATATCATGCTTCCTATGTTTAAGTTACTCTCAATCTGTTTTATAAGTTAAGTGTATGCTTCATTCATCGTCATAAACATGTAGACATTTCTGTAAAGCAATAAAGCGACTTCAAGACTTCATCCGACTGTTCGTGACAAGATGGTGGTGAAAAGTGGACCGGGAGGTTATCAAGGTGATAGAAGAATGTACTTTAAATATTTTGGCAACAATGCAGAATACATTTTTCAAAGAATATTTTTTTATGCTTTTGTCACATAATAATCATTCCAGCAACATACAAAACAAAAGGTTATGCCTGGAAATAAACTTTAGTTGTTTCATACACTTTTCTCAGCATTATCACTAAATCTATCTGCAAATAAATTAGCAAGGAGGACTAATGCATATTAGAAATACAAATTTTCTATTCTAGTTCACTCAGTTATTCATCAACTGGAAAAGAAATGGGGGATTCAAACATACTCTGTATTTTATCTAAGTTTTTCTTTGATCAGTAATAACTAGAAATGTTGCTCATCGTCATGTGTACATGATGTACACACATTTACCGTCATTCCCTGGTATAAGAAAGGTTTGTAGTCTCTTGGAAGAACTACAGTTCTTTGAATCTCAGTATACATGTTGTGAATTACATGTACAAAATGTACTCATATTGGCTGTATAAAGCTCTGTGAAAAAAACATTTTTCTCTGGCATATTTCCAGTAATATGTCATACAATTTCTGTCTTGGTTCAATTTTTTTTTGTATAATCATTCACATTTTTGTTGTATTGAATTTTTGTTTTGCATTTTGTTCATACTCAGGATGGAAAACTTCTTTTAACATCATCGTTTTGGAGACCACCTCTTTCTGCACTCTGGACCTTCACTGATGTATTTGAAATAAAGTATGTAATGATTCTGATTTCATTGCTAATTATTTGTTTTTGTTAACACGTGATAACAGAATTGCAAGGGTGTGGATCAAAAACAGGAAATATGTTAATGTAACTTAGTAAATATTTTTCAAAGAAATTGAAGTTTTATAGGAATAATTTTTGTTTCCATTATTATAAGTTGCAGGTTCATTATGCCAGCATCTATTGAATTATTTAATTATTTCTAGTTTGAATATATATTCATTTAGTATTATATAGCAAGTATCTCCAGGAGACGATGAAACTTTTAAAACCTGTAAAAAAAAAGCACCTTTATTTTTGCTTATAATAGGTAAAAGAACATATAAATTTGAATGCAGATACTTTTAATTAAAACCTTTGCTGCAAAATTTAAAATTTTCTATACTGTGGTCATGATATTTATCATAATCATCCAATAATTAATTCTTTTGTAACATTTCTGATGGGAGAGAATAATTCAGACTTTATTATCTGAACCTACATGGTAACTCTTTACCATCATATATAAATTAGTGGATATCTTCATATAAATTTTACAGATGAATATTAGTCAAATATAAATTATTTATATCCATTTGCTTTATATTTTGGTTTGTGAAACCACAATTAAGTCTATGTTATGTACGAAAAGGAACCTTTATACTTTGCAGTGGCCCACTGGGAAGCCTGCAGAATTTTTAAGATTTTGTGATTTTTTTTTCTTTTTTTACAAACTTAAGTTTTGTCAACACAGTTATGCACTAAGATTATTCTTGTAAAACATCTTTGACTTAATAAGGTTGACAATATTGCCCCATATCATCAATGTTTCGCCAGACAGAGAACTAATATACAATAGAAGATTATTTTTTTCATAGTGCTTTATGTTAGTATAGTTTATCATCCAAGTTAGAGCATGGATATTTAAGTGAAACTGTCATGGATTTTCTAGACATTCCTTTGAAGAAGACTGCTATGTGGAATTCAGTAAACAATCACAAGACAGAATAATTGGTACAAAATATGAAAGAGCAAATGTAAGTAGTTGTCAGTTTTTAATGTTTGTACTCTTCATTTTATATATAATGGATCCTCTGGGCCATTACATCTTGATATTGTTGTATCAATGTCAAACCTTTTTTTTTATATCTGCAAGTGAATGTTTATTAAGTGAATATTGCTAAATTCATATTGTTAGTGTAAAATAAGTTCAAGAATTGTTTGAGGAAATTTTGGTCTTAAAATAGTTAATAGGATAAAGAATGTGTAAAATAAGCTCAAGACTTGTATGAGGAAATTTTGGTCTTAAAATAGTTAATAGGATAAAGAATGTGTAAAATAAGCTCAAGACTTGTATGAGGAAATTT